TAACCCTAAACCTAACCCTAAACCTAAACCTAAACCTAAACCTAACCCTAAACCTAACTCTAAACCTAACCCTAAACCTTACCTTAACTTAAATCGCGCTTCTGTCGGCGCGCTTTTGACATCACAATTTTAGCGCCGCGGTTTTGTCAGCGAGCTTTTGACATTCGCGCTTATGTCGTGCCACACAGTAAACCAATGTTTATTAGTTGAGGACTACCAGTATTCATAAAAATACAGACGGAAAGAAATTGTGGCTGCTCTGAGTTTTTCTTTCAGCTGGTGCTTTTGCTTTGGGGTGAAAGGGTTTTAAGTCTTTTGGCACTGCTTTCGTGGTTCCTGGCACTGTCCTTTTGGGGTGTACTTCCCACAGAACCAATCCAATTAGCCAAACAGAAATCTGCTACTCCTCCCCTTTTTGGCTGGAAAACTATCTTGCACAAAACCACTTTCTGATTTCTTCAGCTTTCTCCTGTGATGCGAAGCCAGCTAACTGTGGCCTGTAATCATTTTCTCCTCCGCAAAGTAGATAACACAAGTTAAAATTATTTTTTTACTTCATCCTCACCCTAACTCCTGGTGCTGCAACTGAATTCCCACAGGCGGCAAAACCTGTATCTCGGTTGCATCTTGGAAGGTGGACCTCACTTGGAGCCAAAGGTGAACTAACATCTTGTGCAAAATATGAACTCTCACTGCCTTGACACACACACACACAAACCGCTCACACACACACACATTTCTACACTCAAGGACAATGTGAACCACCAGTTAAGGCTGAACCAGTTTGACAGGTGGGCTAAAACTCAGCCTGTTTCCCACCAGCACTAAGTGAAATCTACCTTTGGCTTTAAATCAAAGTACGTTGATTGCTTCATCTCTATACAAATGCCATTTGCATTTCGCAATCATACCAGATTTACTATCCAGTAATTAAGTTTTCAGTTGCCTTTTGAACTACGGCCAAGTTGTGCAATGCTCCGGTGAGATGAATAGGGTGCAGCTCCCCTCCCACCTCCCCCCCAGTATTTTCTGCACCCTATTTTCTGGGGGGAACCCCCCCCACCACCCTTTCTTGTCCCCATATGGAAGCGGAGCAACAAACCAGGGATTCAGGGAGCTAAGCAGAGGCCTGGAGTCCTCTGGTACTCTCCCACCTCCCCGCCCAGCTTGGTGTTTGCTTGCAGATGTTTCATTCTCCAACTACTGAAAGTCCTCAACTTACAACAGTTCGTTGAGTGACCGTTCAAAGTCACAACGATACTGAAAAACAGGAGATATGGCTGTTTTTCCAGTTCTGATCTTTGCAGCATCCCCAAAATCTGTGATCAAAATCCAGATGCTTGGCCACGGGCTCATATTTTATGACAGTCCCCTTTTGTGACCTTCAATGGGGGAAGCCTGATTCACTTAACAACCGGGTTGCTCCCTTCTCCACTTGCAGCGATTCGCTTGACAATTGTGGCAAGGAAGAACGGTCGTAAAAAGGGGGGACGGAACTCGCTGCACAAACATTTCACTTACCAACAGAAATTTTGGCCTCCCGTTGGAAGTGGAGGATTATTACCTGTAGATCAAGACCATCAGGGTGAGGCTTGTTCCCACGCTCCCCAGCACCCATGATTGCGACCTAATCGGGGAATGAAACGGGTGCGAGCAAAGTCCTTGAGGATTCTCACTGCGCCACCTTGAGCCAAGGTGGCGCAGTGGTTAAATGCAGCACTGCAGGCTACTNGGCTGGGGAATTCTGGGAGTTGAAGTCCACAAGTCTTAAAAGTTCCCAAGTTTGGGACACCCCTGCCTTAAGGGAAACGCCGCCCAGCTTTTATACTCAACAACTCACTTTCTCTCTGTCACACAAACACAAAACACGCACACCCCGCACACGTGTAGGAACCCGCACCAAGCGCGCTAAGCAAGCGGGGCGCAACTTTTGCAAAAAAAAATAGATAAATAAACGCGCCTTCGCCTTCGGGGCGCAGCGGGCGAAAAGAACCGCGCGCGCCTTGCAAAAAACAAAAACGGGCCCCTCTTCCACACGCGCGCGCGGCCTTCAGACACCCACCCGCCCACCCAGGGATCCACTCGAGTCCGCCCCCCGAAGAGAGAGACCCCGTTCTGCCTACCGACCCAAGCCGAGGCTGCTTCTGCTCCTTGCACCGGTCTGCTTTCTGACGACCCGACGGACGGTTGCTGGGTGCCAAAGCGCCCTTTTTTTTTGCTCAGCCCGGGCAGCAGGAGGAAAGCTCGCTCCTCCCCTCTCGGCTTTTGTGTTGCAATGTGCAAAGTGCAAGTGTTTTGCTCGCGCCTTTCTCAGCCGCCGCTTGCAACGGGCGTTGCCCTTGGGCATTTTGCCTCTTGCGCGCCCTCCCGCCTACAAGGCCCTGGAACTTCACTTGCTCCCTTAAACAGAATAGAGCTGGGAGAAAAAGACCTTGGAGGTCTTCTAGTCTAACCCCCTGCGCAAGCAGCAGGCCCTATACAAGAAACGTTATGTCAGTTTTTACTACCAGAAACAAGGACAAGAAGCAATGGGTGGAAACTAAATCAAGGAGAGAAGCAACCTGGATCTAAGGAGAAATTTCCTCACAGTGAAAACAATTCAACAGTGGAACAAGGCTTTGTTTCCAGAATTCCCAATCAAGAGACAAAAGCATGGGGATAGAACACGGAGAATACTTTTTTGTTTGTTTGTTCAAAGGCTTAGAACATTTTCTATGTTTCTGTTTCTGTTTCTTTATTTGTATGCCGCCCTTTTCCCTGAGGGGACTCAGGGCNTTGAGCCGGTGAGATTAGAACCGCTGAACTGCAGATAACAGTCAGCTGAAGTGGCCTGCAGTACTGCACCCTAACCACTGAGCCACCTCGGCTCAGAAGAAGAAGAAGTAGTAGTGGTAGTAGTAGTAGTTTTACTCATCTCCTTCTCCTCTTCTTCCTCCTCCTCTTCTTCATCTTCTTCTTCTACTCCTCCTCCTCCACCACCACCACTTCGTCCTCTTCTTCTTCTTCCCCTCCCTTTCTCCTTCTCCCCTCTTCCTCTTCTTCTTCCACCTCCACCTTCTCTGCCTCCTATCTTCTTCCTCCTCCTCTTCCTCTCCTTCTCCTCCTCCTTCTCTTCTTCTTCCTCTCCTCTTTTTCTTCTCCCCTCCTTCTCCTCCTCCTCTTCTTCCACCACCACTTTCTCTGCCTCGTCCTCTTCTTCTTCCTCTCCTTCCTCTCCTCCTCCTTCTCTTCTTCTTCCTCTCCCCTTCTCTTTCTCCCCTCCCCCTCCTCCTCCCCCTCTTCTTCTTCCACCACCACCTTCTCTGCTGCCTCTCTTCCTCCCCCTCCTCTTCCTCTCTTCCTCCTCTTCTTCTTCCTCTCCCCTTCTCCTTCTCCTCTCCTCCTCTTCTTCTTCTTCTTCCACCACCACCTTCTCCTCCTCCTCTTCTTCCTCCTCCACCTCCTCCTCCTCCTCTTCCTCTCCTTCTGCCCTCCTCCTTCTCTTCTTCCTCTCCTCCTCCCCTCCTCCCCCTCTTCTTCTTTTTCCTCTTCCTCTCCTTCTCCTCCTCCTTTTCTTCTTCTTCCTCCACCTCCACCTCCTTTTCTTCCTTCTCCCCCCCTCCTCCTCCTCTTCTTCCTCCTCCTCTGGTCTCACCACTTCCTGAATGCTTCCCTCCAATCCTCAGCATTTTTGCTTGAAGGGGGTTTCACAGGGCAGAGGAAAAAAATGTGTAATGTGTAATCAACCCAGAAATGAAAGACTTTTTAAGGACAACCAGCATTGAAAGTGCATCCTTCTCCCAACTCAATATACAAAGGTGAATAATTAAAATGAAAACAAAAAATCTGATGCATCCTCTAGTCTGATTTTTTTTTTTAGCCACTTTCATTTTTCCAGCCTTGGAAAAATAACAGATGAGTGAAAAACCACTATCTTATCTTTCTACATGCAGGAAAGGAATTTTTTTCCTTTGAACACGATTGCAGGAATCACAGAAGCTTCGGTTCCAAACACTAAGCCAATTTACTGAAAAAGGAGATGGGTGGGAGGGGGGGGGGTTCTTGGGAATGTAACATTTCACTACATGGATAGGATTTCCCACATTTAAGGTTTCCCCCGTGGGATATTTTAAGGAAAAGTAGAAAAAGCGTATGCACATGCAAATACATAACAGGGCATTATTGGCTTTGAGTTTTCCTTCCATTGAGGGATTCCCATAAATAGATGCTGGATGCATTTTGCAAAAATAATTCTGATCCTGTAATAGAGCAGATGAGGTACTTGGAATGAGGTCAGAAAGACTGTTTACAGTTTAAGGTTTAAGGTTTACAGTTTTGGGACTGTCAGAAGCTTTATCCTCATCTCCAAGGTGCCGAGGTGGCGCAGTGGTTAGAGTGCAGTACTGCAGGCCACTTCAGCTGACTGCTATCTGCAGTTTGGCGGTTCAAATCTCACCGGCTCAAGGTNACAGAGCAAAACTAGCATGGACAGAGGGCTGCTCTTAATAATTGTACAAAAACTGCTTTAGAAAGAGGGAAAGTACAACATAAAAATAATAGAAACGGTTCAATTAACAGTTGTCATTCTACATAGGATAATGTAGATATTAGTCTATTAGTCTAGATATTTACATAAGTAAAGGTTCCCCTAGCACATATGTGCTAGTCATTCCCGACTCTAGGGGGCGGTGCTCATCTCCGTTTCAAAGCCGAAGAGCCAGCGCTGTCTGAAGACGTCTGAGTGATCATGTGGCCGGCATAAGTAAATGCCAGAGGAGCATGGAACACTGTTACCTTCCCACCAAAGGTGGTTCCTATTTTTCTACTTGCATTTTTACATGCTTTCCAACTGCTAGGTTGGCAGAAGTTGGGACAAGTAACGGGAGCTCACTCCATTATGCAACACTAGGGATTCGAACCTCCGAACTGCTGACCTTTCTGATCGACAAGATCAGCGTCTTAGCCACTGAGTCACTGTGTCCCTCCTGTTACGTGTAGGACATTGTAAAAACACATGTTATAAAGAATCATTATCTTTATTACATCTCCAATAAAATTCTCTCTTAGACAATCCTTTTTTATATAAATGTATTGGAATGCAATGAAGAACCAACGGCATAACTTTAATTGTCAGATTTTTTTTTTCAATCTAAAAGATGGCAGGATGGCAGAACATAATTTTAATAGTTTAATTATTTCTTGGCGGCAAAAAAACACAAGCTAGTATGGTCTTGGCTGGCCATTGGCAATTACTGGCAGAAAATAAGCGACTGAGCATGCTCCCCGTGCTTAGCAAGCAAGAACCGGATATGTGCAAAGGAGGGGCTTGGCAGTGACGTCACTGAGGTGCAAAGTTTTCCATAACTTGTCCTACTTTACTGTGGCAACCCCTGTGTGTAGCCAGAACCCATGTGGGATTGACTTTGGAAGAAATTTTGGTTGTCCTCCTCCTCTTCCTCTTCCTCTTCTTCCAAAGACGACGAAGACGAAGAATAGCAATAGCAATAGCAGTTCGACTTATATACCGCTTCATAGGGCTTTCAGCCCTCTCTAAGCGGTTTACAGANTGGCCCCTCCAGGCAGTCACATGACTGGAAGTCTGGTGCTCAATAACTGGCCGGCTTTGTGGGCATTTGCAGCATTTGAGCCATGGTGGTACAGTGGTTAGAATGCAGTACTGCAGGCTACTTCTGCCGACTGCTGGCTGCCTGCAATTTGGCAATTCAAATCTCACCAGGCTCAAGGTTGACTCAGCCTTCCATCCTTCCGAGGTGGGTAAAATGAAGACCCAGATTGTTAGGGAAAATAGATTGACTCTGTAAACCGCTTAGAGAGGGCTGTAAAGCACTGTAAAGTGGTATATAAGTCTAAGTGCTATTGCTAACCAGCCATCATGTGCCTTGATTTTCAATGGTTTTGCCAAAAACTGATATTTACATTCACTTTTTGGCAAAACTGGTCCATTTCAAACCATTGGTTAGCTTGATGACTGTGGTGTTCACTTAACAAAACCATTGCAAAAACGGTCACAAAAACCAGTTGGTCACGTGGGTGACCCCATTTATGATTGTCACAATTTACAAGCGTGTTGGGCAGGCTCCATTACGGCTGTAAGTCGAGGGCTACCTGTATCACTCTGCCATTTCCTATAGGCGGAGTTCTCAGCGTAAAGTTTCTCTAACATCCCATTTCTTCAAAGAGTGGAACTTGATTTCCTAGCCACTATAAAATCAAATGGGGCCACGGTGGCTCAGTGGCTAGGACACTGAGCTTGTCAATCAGAAAGGTCAGCAGTTCGGTGGTTCGAATCCCTAGCGCCAGGTAACGGAGTGAGCTCCCGTTACTTGTCCCAGCTTCTGCCAACCTTGCAGTTCGAAAGCATGTAAAAATGCAAGTAGAAAAACAGGAACCCCCTTTGGTGGGAAGGTAACAGCGTTCCGTGCGCCTTCGGAATTTAATCATGCCGGCCACATGACCATGGAGACGTCTTTGGACAGCGCTGGCTCTTCAGCTTTGAAACGGAGATGAGCACCGTCCCCTAGAGTCAGGAACAACTAGCACATATGTGCGAGGGGAACCTTTACCTTACCTATAAAATCAAATAGATCTTGATGCCAGAGCTGATACTTTTTGCCCTGCGATTCTAAAATTTAACAAATATGTGTTCTTGGGGGTGTTAACATTCGTAAGTCCACCGTTCTTTGAACAGCCTTAAGTTTTGCAACTGTCTGGCTTGGTTGGAGACATTTACGCAGCTGGCTCTTCGGTTTCTCTCTTGCAAGCCCCGTTCACCGGGCTCTCCTCCGTAGTGGTTCACTGATCTCATAGATTCTCATTACACACTTGCATGCACAGCCACATCTGCCCGTACAGCTCTACTTATAGACAGCCGGACACTCCGGGATGCCATAAAACAGCTCCTCCACAAACAGGGTGCTAAAGAGCAGGAGACACAGAACAGGCACAAAGGTTGGAAGATTTATCTCAGACAGCTATTAAGGTGGAATATATTAATCCATTGTACCCTGCTAGCCTCCTCCTCCTCCTCCTTCCAGGGCCCAGCAACCTCTGTAGCCAATTGAGAGTCATGATAATAATCAGAATCTGCTTAGCCAGCAAAGGCAGAGATAGCTTAAAAGTGCAAGTATCTGTCTTCCCATCCTCACACACACACACACACACATACACACCAGCCAAAGATCCTTTTCACCCTGAACTTTTTTGCTAGCTTGCAGGAATGTGTCGTCCTTTCTCGAATAGTTACCAGGTTGACTCTTTCATAAAAGATTTCCTGCTGCCA